AATAATACTAAACCAAAATAAGCACGATGCATGTAAGTAACACTCAAAACTTTTATAAGAACACACATTTATACATTCCAAACAAGATCAAAACATATATATACAAACCGGTCAAAATTAAGCCACACACATATATACAGCCAGTTAAGTCAAGTACAAATATAGACGATCCACCGAGGAATGGCCTTTCTAGTTCACCAAATCCTTTCTAACCTAGGCCCTCATATCTTTCGTATCCGGGCGCAAGAATCCCATCTAAGATAATTCACAACTCGAGTCGGCCGGTCCCAAGAGTAAATCATCCTTATAAAAGATTCCTACCCGACATACATACCTAGCTTCCTCAAGTCCCATGATAATGATTCGTACACTTATAACATGCCCGGCTCAAAACTTATGCTCAAACGAGCACTTAGACATATTCATGAAATTAGGACCACAACACCACTTGGCCCAGTCTCACTCCGCGCAGAGACCACGCGAAGTGGCTCTGATACCACTTGTGACAGCCCCACTTTCCCCTAAGGCGAACCAAAGGGGTTAGCGGACTGCCTGCCCAGCTCTCGCCAGGACTACGGATCAGTTTACGTCGATCTAATACGTTCCGGTACATACCAACGCGCGCAAACAAGTCAAAATCACAAAATAAAAAAAACGAAAAAATCGAAGCCGACGATGAATAGTGTCGGACACGTCAGAATCCGGCCGGAATCTGGCCGGATTTTCGGCCGGATACAAGGCCGAGAGTAGCCCATTTTTTCCCAAAAACCTTCACAATCCGGCCAGTTTCTGGCCGGATTCCTGGCCGGATTCGGTACTGTTCATTCACGCCAAAATTTTTCCTTTTCCGTTTGATATGCGTATCGATACGAAATCCAACCAAACATTATCCAAACATATATATATATTGAAATTCAACATTTACAATCAAATGACCATGCCAAAGTTATTCATCATGAATATACATATTCGGTTTGCCAATCAAAAGAAAATGAACCCAATACACATTAGGGTTTCATTCAAAGAGCCGTTCAAAATATACATGTACATGAGCTCAATTTGGCAACCAACAAGTATGACTTTTCCAAAAGTGATCATTTTCCTGTAAGGAAAACAAATGGAACAGAATGAGCTTAAGCCCAGTGAGTTACTACCACATAAGCAACAAAGATCACATAAGCAAAATCTTTCATTTCAAGTACACAATAAAGAAGTAAAACAAGTCGGTAAAAGGATACGGACGGCTCTCAAGAGCCCATATCCATGCTTACATTCTTGATCCAACCTCATTGACCCTCCATCAATGTTAAGAGAACCAACCGTAGAACCCACTTCACTCCCATCCCTTCCACCAAACATACCCCAACCGGGCCCGCACTCCAATCAGTAGCTTTTGGTAATACTCGAGTTTACCAGAATCAAGAGTCTCATTACTACAAGATTTTCTAGTACAATCCCCGTGGCATGTCAATTTTCACGACCAAGCCCTCGCCGGCTCGATTCAATTGACTACCAACGGGGTTGAGCTCAGTAGTACAGTAAAGCCGTTGGATACTCGTCCAAACGACACCAAATCAGTTTTTCATGAAGTGAATTCAATATCTTATATAGCAAGTGCAGTATATCAGTGAAGCGGTAAACAGTCATTAACGGTATCACAAGGGGTGAGGGCGGTCAAGTACACCCTCACCTCAATCAATTCCAATAGCCAAATAAGCCTTCAAGGCATCAAAATCACATATAGTAAAGCCACATTGTAACATTCAAGTGAGTAGTATACTCACCAATCACGTAGGTGATGTTTCATGCACCGACGTTAAAATGGTCGCCGTGAACCCTCGTCACGTCTTAGAACACGTAAACAAAAACCATGCGACTCGATAATGAGTCATAAATCCATGCCAATCACAACCCAATAGGGTTTTATAAACATATACACGCATCATAGGTAACCAAAAATTCAAGCAATGGCATTAGCTTTGGCCCTGAATAAAACAGTGTTTGTCCTCATTTTGCGGGAATGGCACTAGAGGCACTACACTTATCGGATTAGGGTGTAAGACCCACCGTTTCGAAGCTTAGAAACAGGGCTACAACAATGTAGAAGGTCACTCAGTCAAATTCCTAGTACAACCAGGTCAAATATGCAAGATACTAAACCAGAATCACAATAACGGGTTCACAAATTACATTCTGCTGTAATCAGTACAACTCAGTCTATATAGGTCCAAATTCAGAAAGTCCAAAGGCATATGGTAGCCAAGACATCAATCTACATTTCATCAGAAGACCTCAACAATCAAATCCAAATCAATTCCAGCCAAAACCGCCAATTACAGGCACAGTTCTTACATTCGGGTGAATCCAGAACAGAAATAGTAATTTCAACTTTTATCATTCTACACTACTCCAATTGACCTGAAATTTTACAGACACCTCACACACATCAATACCTACAACTTTCATGTTTTAAGGTAAGGCCAATTCGGCTTCTATCCCTGAGATACAAAACCGGACAGAAAAGGGGGTTATGAAACCCTAACTTTTCACATTTCATTCCAAACCCAAAATTGGTTGCAAACACCAATCATTTACCTCTACTAGAGTCATTATAAGCCATTGCCAATCATCATAAAAGGCCACAACATCATGATCACATTAAACCAGAAAATTCATCAATAAATTGAAAACTTCATCAATTCATCCAAAACCAAGAAATAAACCACATATTTCATCACTTTAGCTCCCATTAGGCACAAAGTAAGCTTCATTAAGTGTAGGGGAAAGTTCATATACCACTCACCTAGTAAACAAGAGAGGAAGAGTTGTTGGACACCTTAGCTTTCCTAAACACTTCACCAAAGCACTTACTAACACCAAATAGAGAGGTTTTATGGAGTAGAATCAAAGTTGGATGGTTGAGTAAGTTGATTGAAGCAAGATTGAACCCAAAATCTTGAAGAGTTTTCTTCCTTTTGTTGCTCAAGAGATTCGGCCAAGAGGTTGAAGACAAGAGTGAATTTTTGTTCAATTTTTGAGATATTTAATCAAATGGTCAAAAGGTCAAAAAAATGAATAGTAAGTCATAAGTTATCACCAACCTCATAGTGACACATGTCACCTCCTTTAATGCAATCCTATCCTTATTTTTTCCTCTCACATCAATCACTTCACATCCTCTACTTATCTCTTAACACCCGATAAATTTCAACCAGTATCCGAAACTTAACTTAATTGGCTGAATTTTTTCGAACTTTTCGCACTAGTGGGTCCCACGTCCGTTATATATCCTTAATTTTTCAAAAACTATCCAATACTAGAAAAATCATCTAAAAACTATATCTGCTCATTAAAAATATCTAAAAAAATTTCCTACTAGAGAAAATGCAGAAAACAAACCATTAAAGGGGAAAAAAACCTAGGAAAATTATTAGGGAATTTCGGGTTCTCACAATATCAATGTGCTTAGTTCTAGAGTGTTGAATGAGATTTTTTGTTAGATTAATTGCACTAGTGTTGTTACAGTACATGGGTACACATTCATATACTAAACCGAAGTCATTCAATGTGTTTTTCATCAATAACAATTGAGTACAGCAAGCACCAGCAGCAACATATTCAGCTTCAGTAGTGGACAGTGAGATAGCATTTTGTTTTTTACTAAACCAAGAGACCAAGCAATTTCCAAGAAAGTTGCATATACCAGTAGTACTTTTTCTATCTATTTTACAACCACCAAAGTCAGCATCAGAGAATCCACACAAAGGAAGTTCATGACATTTTGGATACCACAAGCCAAAATTTAAGGTTCCTTTAAGATATCTCAAGATTCTTTTTACTGCATTCAAGTGTGATTCCTTTGGACAGGATTGAAATCGAGCACATAAACACACAGCAAACATGATGTCAGGCCTACTAGCAGTTAGATAAAGTAAACTTCCAATCATACCTCTGTACTTCTTCTCCTCAACTTTTGTACCTTCTTCATCTTTGTCTAGTTTGGTAGATGTGCACATAGGTGTCCCAACAGGCTTTGAATCCTCCATTCCGAATCTTTTCAGCAACTCCTTGGTGTATTTTGTTTGATTTATAAACGTTCCATCTTGGGTTTGAATCACTTGGAGTCCAAGGAAGAAGTTCAGTTCTCCCATCATGCTCATTTCAAATTCTTTTTGCATGATGATGGAAAAGTCCTTGCACAATTTTTCATTAGTAGCACCAAATATGATATCATCCACATATATTTGCACAATCAAAAGATCTTGTGAGCTTTGTTTTGTAAAAAGTGTAGTGTCTACAATGCCTCTTTTAAAACCATTTTCAATCAGAAATCCACTCAGACGTTCATACCATGCTCTAGGAGCTTGCTTTAATCCATATAAAGCTTTTGAGAGTTTAAACACGTGATCTGGATAAGATTCATTTTCAAAACCAGGAGGTTGGTCAACATAGACTTCTTGATCTATAAATCCATTTAAGAAGGCACTCTTAACATCCATTTGAAATAATTTAAAATTCTTGAAACATGCAAATGCTAAAAACATTCTTATGGATTCCAGCCTGGCTACTGGTGCAAAAGACTCATCAAAGTCTATTCCCTCTTCTTGAGTGTATCCCTTAGCCACCAGTCTAGCCTTATTTCTAACAATCTCCCCTTTATCATTCAATTTGTTTCTAAAAACCCATTTAGTGCCAATGATAGGATGGCCTTGTGGTCTGGCAACCAGAGTCCAAACTTTGTTTCTTTCAAATTGGATTAACTCTTCTTCCATAGCTAAAATCCAGTGCTCATCATTCAAAGCATCAACAACATTTTTAGGTTCAATATGTGATACAAAAGCAAGATTATCTACCAGGTGTCTAGAGGAACGAGTCCTGACCTTTTCAGAAGGATCACCAATTATAAGCTCCCTGGGATGATTATGAGCAAATTTCCAGGCTCTTGGAAGATCATTAGGAGTAGTGGTATCTCTATTATTCACTTCTTCAGCTGGACTGACCTGAGCATCATTATCCTTTGAATCAGTTTCTGGTGAGGCAGAGTCATGGTCATTGATTGCTAGCTTCTTTAGTCCTTCTTGAACACCTGTGTCATCATCTTCACCACAACTCATAGAAATGTCACCATTAGATTCATCAAAAGTAATGTGTATAGCCTCCTCTATAATCAATGTTCTACGATTATAAACTCTGAAACCTCTTTTGTTTTCACAATAACCCAAGAAAATTCCCTCATCAGATTTCTTGTCAAACTTTCCAAGATGTTCCTTGATATTCAAAATGAAACATTTACAACCAAATACTTTGAAGTAGCCGACAACAGGCTTTTTGTCATACATGAGCTCATAGGAAGTTTTGTTCAAAATTGGTCTTAGAAGAACTCTATTCATGGTATAACAGGCTGTGTTTATGGCTTCAGCCCAAAAATATTTTGGTAAATTGCATTCACTAAGCATGGTTCTAGCAGGCTCTTGGAGAGTTCTATTTTTTCTTTCTACAACTCCATTTTGTTGAGGGACTCTAGCAATAGAGAATTCATGAGTAATACCATTATGATCACAAAATTCTGGAAAACCACAGAACTTAAATTCTGTCCCATTATCACTTCTAATCCTAACAATTTTCAAGCCAAGCAGATTTTGTATTTTAGCAAATAATGATGTAAAATTCTTAAAGGCATCATCTTTATGAGCAAGGAATATTACCCAAGTATATCGAGAGTAGTCATCAACAATCACAAAACAATATCTCTTACCACCAAGGCTTGCAGTCTGTGTAGGACCAAACAGATCAAGGTGCAGAAGTTCAAGTGGTTTTGAAGTAGAAACACATTTCTTAGGTTTAAAAGAAATCTTGACTTGTTTTCCAAATTGGCAAGCATCACAAATTCTGTCTTTTTCAAATCTAATTTTTGGAAGTCCTCTAACAAGTTCCTTTTTAGAAATTTCTTTCAGCAAATCCATATTGAAGTGACACAACCTTCTATGCCACAACCATGGGTCCTCATCTGCTACTTTGAGACATTTGAGATATGAGGAATCAATTTTTTCAAGAAACACTACATAGACATCATTAACTCTTTTTCCTTTGAAAACAATGTTGAACTTTGAGTCAAATATGAGACATTCAAGCTTTTTGAACAATACAAACAGATTTCTATCACACAATTGGCTAACACTTAACAGATTGTAGCTCAAATTGTCAACAAGAAGAACATTATGGATAAAAGTTTGATCATTCTTACCAACATCGCCAATACCAACAGTCTTGGCTTTGTTATCATCTCCAAATGTTACCTTTCCACTTGCTTTTTGCTTGAGTTTAATGAATTGTGATGCATCACCAGTCATATGTCTTGAACATCCACTATCAATGAACCATTTTGATTCTTTAGCAATGTAATCCTGGTTCACCTACACACAAACCCACAAGATAATATTTGGTACCCTTTACATGTTGGGTCCTTGAGAGTTAGTCTTATGTTTGACTATCCACATGCATCTCATGCCATTCCTCATGTTTTTCTTAACATGACAGTTGCTATACATGTGACCAGATTGACAACAAAAGTTGCATACTGACATTGAATCAATCAAATGAACAGGTTTAATGAATCTAACTTGCCTTCTTCTGTAGATAGCAAACTCATTTGTATTTTGGTTCAGTCTTATTTGATGAGTATTAACATAAGGTACAGTGTCATTCTTTCGAAGATGATTCTGTTTCACGTGATATAACAATTTACATAAAACATCCATCCTTTTTCTTAAGCTGCATTGCTCACTTTTGAGTAAGTCACAGTAATTTTTCTTTTTGTAAAGTTCAGCAAGCACATCAGTTTCAGTCCTTTTCAGGTTATCATTTTCATGCTTAAGACATTTGTTTTGTCGAAAAAGATTTACATTGTCTTGTATTAGAAATCTGATTTTTTGCTTCAGTTCTTTGTTTTTAACATAGGATTCTTTCAAGCTGTTATGCATTTTTTCTAGAAAAGAATTAACATCATCATCAGATTCACTATCACTATTGGTTTGAGAATTGCATTGTGTTACCTCTTCATCTCCAATAGCCATGAAAGCCACTTGAGCTGATTCCTCTTCTTCTTCAACTTCACCTTCTGAGTTGCAATCATTCCAGGTAATCTGGAAATTGTTGAACTTTGATTTTCGTTCAATCTTGTTTTCCTTTTTTTTCTTCATTGGACACTCATTTGCATAATGTCCAGGTTGGCCACATTCAAAACATTTATCGTTCTGCTTCTTGTTGAACTCTAGTTTCCCTCTATTCCTGAAGTCATTAGTCTGATTCTGGAAGGAATTGCTGGATCCGCCTTTCCTGAATTTTCTCTTATTGAGAAATCTTTTGAAGCCTCTTGTGATGAGTGCAATATCACTGTCATCACCTTCCAAGTCATTTTCATCCAGTGAGGCTGTTTCATCTTCATCTTGTGAAGCTTTCAGAGCAATACTCTTCCTTCCTTTTGTGTCTTCTTCTTCCTGCAACTTAGATTTAAGTTTCAGTTCGTAAGAGGTTAGAGAGTTAATCAGAGATTCAATGGATAAGGAATTTAGATCCTTGGCTTCCTCTATGGCAGTCACTTTGCTTTCCCAATCCTTTGATAGAGCATTCAGAATTTTTCTGTTCTTTTCACCTAGAGAGTACTCCTTCTCAAGCACCTCTAAATCCTTGATCAGATCATTAAATCTACAATACATTTTGTCGATGTTCTCATGAGGCTCCATCTTAAAAGATTCATACTTGGTGACCAGAATGGACTTTTTCTGTTCTCTTACGTTGTCACTGCCCTCATGAATTTCTCTTAGCTTATCCCACATTTCTTTGGCAGATTTGCACCCTTTTACTCTAATTGACTCACTTGAGTCTAAGGCACTATAAAGAACATTCATGGCTTTGGCATTCAATGTGAGATTGGTTCTATCTTGAACATTCATTTCAGCTCTAGTTTTTGGCCGCAACAAACCTGTTTCTGCATCAAGAAAGTTAGCATCATGCGGTCCTTCATTCACAATAAACCACAGCTTAATATCAATAGATTGCAAGAAGATAATCATTCTTTCTTTCCAACTAACATAATTGGAACCAGTAAACATGGGAGGCCTAGTAACAGATTGCCCCTCAACAAACATAGCATGACTGGTTGTCATCTTATTCCAAGCCGCTTGAGTTTAATCTCTAGGAGACCAAGCTCTGATACCAATTGTAAGGATCGAAGACAACTTAAGAGGGGGGTGAATTAGGCTTTCAAAAACCTGCTAAGATATATTCTACTTTTTTTCACAGACAACCTTTCTTTTCTCAAATACCTCCCAATGAACAAGATAGCACAAGAGCATAGGTATTCGTGAGATGGAGAGAAGAACAGTTTATGTAGAAAAGCAGTAAATGAAAGTAAAGAAACAAACCAGGCTTCAAACACAACTGAGGTTTGAACACCACTTTTATATACCAAGTTACTTCAAGTTGAACAGACTTGCAACCAATCTTTTGTGTACAAGGAAGGGATCACTTCCTTCTTGCCCCAAACCACACTTGGTCAAGCAAGGAAGTTTTACAAACACTCGCAAACCCTCACTATGCTACACTATTGAAGAAGCTATGTCACACTTGAAAAACTGCACGAAGATTGCACAAGCAAGGAGTACAAATGTTCTTCTTTTGAGTATTCTAGCACACGAATCACTCACTATCTGATGTAGGCTTGATGTACCAAGTTTTTTTGAGGTGGTTGACTTTGTTCTTTTTATAGGAGACCAGAGAGTTCCTCAATTAATGCTGTCAAAGGGTAGAAGGCAACTGAAGGGTCAACTAGCCGTTGGTGCTGTCGGACGTCCGATGTTTGGTTTTTATGCGTCCGAACGAGATCAATGAGTTCTGGAAGTTTTCTTGAGTCCCTTAGGACGTCCGATCATGCGTCCGAGGGTAGGATGAATACTTGGACTTTTTTCTTCAATTCCTTCGGACGGCCGATGCGTCCAGAGTGTTGCGTCCGAAGAGCAGCAACGTTTGTCAGACGTCCGATACACAGGTGTTGAGCGTCCGAACCTGAATAGTAATCGAGTAACTCCTGGCTTGTCTTCTTCGGACGTCCGAGTCTGAGTTCTTTACTCGTCCGAAGATACTCAAAGAATATCGGACGTCCGATATTCTCCTTTTGTGCGTCCGACATCATCCTCAGCAGACTTCATTCTTTTTTGATCTTCTTTTTCTGCTTTAAATCCACAGACCTGTTTGGTTTATTTCTGAAAAGGATCTCTACAAAAGGTGTTAGAAACATCCAATTGTTTTGTAATCATCAAAAGATATGAATTGAGATAAACAAGCCTCACGTTGGTTCTCGATCCCTCCCCTCCAAACGAAGCACTTCATACGTGCATACGTAGTTTTAGTCACCCTATTTTTTCTCTTTTTCGTGGCCGTTTCCCGCACCCCCTTGTAGGATTAGGATCGATTGCCTTGGGTAGGTGGATGGTGTGCTCTGTGCCCATACCGCTACCTAAGGGATCACTCGAGCCACCGATCGAAGGTCTTGGGAGTGATGACCCTTTGCCTTTAGGTCTGAAGGCTTGGGAGCCGAAGCCTTATTGAGTCTAGATGCATTAGTGAGCCAAACCTCATGCATCCATATTAGAATTGCCTAGGGTAGAGTCGACCTTACCCTATTAAGGACACTAGGCACGAGGGGAGGGATCCTACCCCTCTTTCCTTATTTATTTTTGTTGCTTTTTATATCATCTAATTGTCCAATGTGTTATGTGATTATGTGTTGAACTGACGTTTCCTTGTCTCTTGTCTTTTGCATTCACAAATATTAGGAAATAAGAGGTCTAGCATGATCCTCTTTTAGGACCTACCCTTATAGATAGGCTATCGCACGTTTAAAAAATTGTGGTATATTTCGTTCATAAATTAATAATGCCATACCATTTTAGGCCTACCCCTGGCAAATAAAGGGTTCCTTAGGTCACGTTTCATTTCGAATTGCATATTTTACCGCTTTAATAAACTGGCATCATGCAAAAACCCAAGAAAAGAAATGCCATTTAGGGGATCCCATGTTAGGAATAA